GGGGGGGGGAGCGGGGCAGCGTCGGACCTGTTATCTGCCTAGCTTTGTGCTTATCGAGTAATTGTTCTTGTCAGGTGGTTGATGAGGGTATTGCTATGAGTAATCTTTTCCTCCCTGTAAAATTAATGCGGATGTAGTTATACTTCTTAATTAATCCTTGGACGTGGTGCCAGGCAGTGAAATTGCTGTTGTTCCTGACAGCTGAAACAAGTGTCCAGATGTTATGTTTAATTAGGAGTGATGCTTTCCTGGGGCATTTTAGTAAAATTAGGTGTGTGTTACCCAATCGTGTTGTTTGCGTTATGACTATTTAGTGCCTGGTTCGTAATTGCCACAGCCTGTGGCTCTGACCTGCCCACTGGAGGCCAGGCATCTCCCTTCTTTACAACCTAGACTTTGTCCCCTCTGGCATTTCTGAATCTTCAGTTTTCCAGGCATCTGCACTCCAGGCATATGAAAGAAAATGTCTTCCAGCTGACTCTTTGACCCTCTCAACAGGACCTGTGGCTAACCCTGCTCAACAAAGTAAGGGATGGAAAGGTTTGATTCATTTAATACCTTTCATCTATTTATTTATTTATTTATCTGTTCCCCTTCTTTTCCTTCCTGAGCAATGGTCTGTTTTTTGTGAATAACCACAAGCAGCCCTGCATTTGGTCCATCTGTCTTGATAAAGTAGAGGATAATTAGCTAGCAAATGACACTGAAATCTAGTTTTCTTTTCATTTGTAATTCCTGTGTTATTAGTGAATCAGTAAAGTCTTGCAAGTAAAGAATTTACTATAAAATACCAAGGTTCAGGATGAACAGAATTAGAAAGTTGGCGTCTTTTAATTTAAGGAATATGCTTCAAGGAGAAAAAAATTATTTATTTATTTTTAAGAATTATTAACTTCCTTCGGCTTGCACTAGTTGAATGACTCAGTGGTGAAGAATCACTGTAAAGAGAACGTGAGAACAGAATTGTCCTATGAACCTGAATTGTAAGAAGTTGTCTTAACTATTTCCCAAAATAGCCACATTGTCATGGTCAAACTCTGGTGAGAGGTCCAGACTGGACCTTTATAAAACCTCAGTGAGGTCATCCCAAAGACTTTCTCTTGGGTTTTTGCCCAGGGCCAGAGCAAATTCACAAGATGTTTAGATTACCATGACTTCTGGTATGATCTGGCTTGCTGGATTAAATATATTGATGTTGCAGTGCTGAAATTTAATATATTAAAGTAGGGACTTGGCCACATAGAAATAGTGGACTGACAAATCAGGGATTTGTCTTAATAGGCAATTTTCCCAACCAACTCTAAGAATTTTTGCTTGAGCTTCTCATAAAGTCTACGCTTCGCCCTTTCGTAGTGTGTTTTGCAAGGAATATCAAATCCTAACTGAAGAGGACATAGTTAGGCCATATCAACTCCCCAGGCTCAGCGGCTCCTAGTCTCCAGGACTACCAACTCACATGCTAGGTATATTTTACCTGGAAAGCTACTCCTACTTACTTTGACCCATGTTGACAAGTGGGTCGCTCTTCAAGCTGAGTCAAAAGCATCCACTTCCCTTTCTCAGCAGGGTCTGTGCAAATTCGACTGGAAGTTTTGGGCTGAAGGCTGACACTGCCAGCCTTGTCCCTTTATTCTTTTCTCATGGTTGTCACCGCTGTTCTTTGCTATTCATTATGGCACGTGTGTGTGTGAAATAGTGTAAGTACAGCTTTCTCAGCTTGTTGGTTTGAAACCTCATAAGAACGGAATAAACATGTAAACTCAATTATTTCACCTTCCTGTGAAAAGCACCAGCTATGCCAGCAGCGGTAGCAGGGGAATGAGGTTGGTGCAGTTATTTGACAGTGTGTAACAGCAGGATTTAGGAGGCCTGTGTTCTGCCATGATCTCTACCCTGCTTGTGTCATGAGGAAAGGACTGTTCTCTACCTGAGTTTCTTTGTGCAGAAAACAGGGAACGTTATACTGACCTTCTTAAGTGCTTACCGATGGAATCGATGGATAAGGGCTATATCATGTGGACTGTAGATAAGAAATCTCTCTCAGATTTAGAGAACTTCCCTACAACCTGCTTTCCCAAACTGAATGGGAAAGGGTTTTTCCAAGTTGAGAGTTGCTTTCTCTTGACTTCTAAATTTCTCTCTAAATTCTCTTGATTTTTTTTAAGTTTAATGATTGTCAGGAATCAATAATAGTTGATTATCATTGGCTTCTGAGATTTGGGATAGCATGCCTAGAAATCATAGGAATCCAGATCTGGAAGTAAACCGAGTAGGTATCTGGTTCATTCCCTTGTACTGGAGTTGAGTCAGATTTCGTAGCTCCTCTGAGAAACCTGTTCCAGTGTGGTGTCATGTTAACAGAAAGCTTACAGAATACCTAGCTTTGCTGCAAGTGAACCTGATTTATTCATGTCCTTATTACCAAGGACAAGGGAGAACAAAATCTCAATCTTCTTCATAAAAACCTTTTCTGTGTTTGACAGTGTTATGTCATCATCCCTTGCTTTCCGAAATTAAACGGAACTGATAAACCTTCAACCTTTCTTGATAGATCACATTTTTCTGATTCTCTCATTTCCTGTTTCTTTCTGCTGAGTTTTTTCTAAGTTGCTTATGTCTGTCTCTGTGGTGCCAAGAGTTGAGCACCTATTTTAGATAATAGTTTGATCGTCAAGGGCAATAGAGTAGTTGCTTCCAGCTTTGTTAATTATATCATTGAATGAGATCTGGTTTAAGCATCTTCATGTGCAGTTATGTTTAGTTTGTCATGCATTTTAACCTCGAGCTTTTTCCTTAGCTGCTATTCTGGTGCTCCATATTGCATCAGTTTCTACACGTGTTCATTAAATTGTTTTATTGATTTCAGACAGTTTTTGCAACTAGCCACATTCACTTTAAACTCTGGATCTGTCTTCAGAGCATTTTTGGTGCTTATTGACACCTGGCTTGATGTTGGAAGCTGTATGAATAAGCTCCTTACTTCATGATCCAAATCATGGGGAAAATGCTTACTGGAACTAGACTAAGGGAACAGCCTAGTGCAACCTATTTGAGACTCCATGGATTAGAGAACCACTCTTTAAGAGCAACAATTTAAAGAACTGAAACTTCAAAATCACTTTGTAGTGACTAAATCACGCTTCCTCAGGTGGCTTAGTGGGGTAGAGAGACCTTGGCAACAATTTAAAATAAAGTTACTTGTTCAGGATTATTTTCATTAGCTCCTGTCCTATAAGATGATTTAGGACATCAGAATTAATAAATAAATAAAGATCACTGGAGTGCCAGTTGCACTGGAATTCCTTTGCTTAGGACACTGGCACCCTAAGAAGACAGTTACATAGCATATAGATTTACAGGTGCCTTTTTCTGCCAATGTAGTGCTGTGGCTCTGCTCCTTTCCTCTCCTACCAAGTGAAACCTTATTGGGGAAGAGCACTACAGACAATAAAAAAAAAAAATTGAGTTCATCAAACTGTTTTGAGAGAAGCAGGATTAGGTGCAGGGGACTGACTGGCAAGGCATAATCTCCAATTTGTGCATTGATTTTGTTATGGGAGTGATTTTGGTTTTGTCTCAGAACCCATGGATATTTGAATAATGATCCTAATATGTATTCTGCCTGATGGTGGGTGATGTATTTTTTTTTTTAGTAACTTATAGAATATCCAGTACCTTCAAACCAACTTATTTATGATAAGGTTATGTGGTCAGATTCCACTCCTGATTCATTACATTATTTTTTTCTTTTCTCCCAAAAGGGTCTTCACCTCAGGCTATGATGGGATTGCTTTGGTGGTTGTCATTTTACATCCCTTTGCTATTACCCACGTTTGCTGAAGGTGTCACCCGAGTCTATTACCTGGGGATCCGTGAGGTGGACTGGAACTATGCTCCAACAGGAAGGAACGTACTTGCTAATCAAAGCATTGCACGTAACCTGTATGTTTAGTTCTATAAGTATTTGGTCTGGTACTGGCTTAAAATAGTAGTTGTCTGAGTAGTTTTATGCAAGTATTCTGGGGCATCTAAGCAAGCGAGAGACACGATCACATATCTGATCTTTATGGGCTTAATGGTTAACTTGTTTTATCATAGGAACATAGAAACTGTAACACTGGGAAAGGGAATGGTCAGTTTAATCGAGCATGCAGTGACCAATGCCAGTTACATTAGAGGAAAGTACAAGCACTCCATAATAGAGCAGATTGTGCAATATGCTACCCTGAGGTTTAGTTTTTCCTACTTCCAGCTGCTGATCAGCTTACATATCCTGAAGCATGATGACTTTTCACCTCAATGTGAATGACTTTGTAGAGCTGGGTTGTGCATTTTTGTTTTTTATTTTTTTAAATGGAATTTCAAGCCTTATACTTAATGGAAATTTCTGCCTGAAATCTCAGGGGGTGGTTAAAATTGTTTTGCAGAAAAATAAATCTGAGAACTCTAATCACTACTTTGAGCCATACAAAAACAGTTTTTATTGCTGTTTTTTAAAACCTCAAACCTTTTTTGCTTTTGTTTAGCTTTCCACAGCTGTTTTTAGGGCATTCGGCATTTTTGTTTCCATTTTCCATGGAAACCTATGGAATCTTGACCTGCTCTCAGTCATTTACCTCCAACCCCGTAATAAATAACACTGAGATGTTAGGAGATCTGCATTCAGAAGCAACGCAGCAGGAGAGGTTCACAGAAAACCAGTAAGCTCTGTCAGTTTAGCCTGGAAAAGTCTCCTTATCTGGAGGTGCTGAACAGACTGAAATAAATTAGTTCACAGAAAAATAAACCTAGAGAATTCAGGATAAGTAGAAAATAAGTTAGCATTGACTCCTGTAGCGGTAACAAACACAGTGCTTTTTTGTTTGCCTTCTCATAATAGATGAGCAGAAATGAAATAAATGAAATGAAATAAAAGGCCATTAAACTTGAAAGCAACTTAAAATCTATTCTGTCCCTACAAACAATTAGCTAATGGGACTTATTTGTACAGTGATTAGAGAAACCCATTAACTAGCAACAAGGAAAGGTTTTGATATTGGTATGAGTGATAGAGGTGGTAAAATGTTTTAGGAATTTTTTTGGAGAAATGGACTAAATGGAAAAAAGCAAGTGTGCAATAAAGCAGAATCATCTATAATCTTTTTAATAATACTGGCTGCATGGATGACCTCATAAATGTATGATCTTTAAATTATGTAACTAGAGCCTACCCTTCACAATTTTGAATGACAAAGCCAGTATTTCAGTGTTTTGGTCTGCATTGTTCATCTTCTAGAGATAAGCACTAGAATTTGCCTGTATTTCAGGACCATGTATATTGCTGTGGGTTGACTGTTACTAAGGTGGGGGGGACTTTCAGCTCTCATTTAGGCCTGTTCCACTAATACTTGGACCATGATTCATCTTTTATCTGCTAAGAAATAATCATAAAAAGTAAATGCTCTCTTGTGTTGACCTTTAGTACTTGTAGGACGTTTTAACTCTGAAGTTAGTTATGTGCCGGGGACATATTTGCCTGAGCTGTCTGTCATGCTACAAATAATTTGGAATCTGTCGACTAGAAAATCACCTTCTTTTGGACTGTGAATTTTGGCCAGAGAGCTCAGGATATTTTTTCCTCTTGTGACTGAGCTACAAACTCCACAAAGGCATTGAAATGAGGTTCCTAAAAGCCCAGTGACAACTAACACAGGAGTGAGAAAGGCCTCAGTCTTCCATCTTTCACTCGTGACTGTCAAGTAGAGAAGCAACATCTTCCTCATTCCTCGTTTGCACAGTATGGTTGTAGACTTTCAGGGGTGCACTTACATGTGTTTTAATGAAGAATTCACTTCACTTGTGACTCTGGTCCCAGACTTCCCAAACTGTTAATTTGTTAATGTCCTGTGTTTTATTTTGCTCACTCAGAAGGCAGACAAATCTAAAAGCTAGCGTTGTTTATTTCCTAATTGGGCTCTATTACCCATGTCACAGCAATCAGATGTGGGAAGAGGAAAAGTACGCTGCTGGCTTAGAGCATGTTAGCACACAGCACGGAAGGTCTTGTATCATGCCAAAAGCTGTAGGACTTGCTTGAGAAAACTTTGTCATCATCACTCTACTGTGTTATACATCAGCTGTTTTATATAAATGTGACTTACGGTGCCTTTCCCTTTTCTGAATTTAACAGTAAGGCTTCAGTATTCCTCCAGCCCGGCAGAGACAGGGTGGGAAGCACGTACAAGAAATCTGTCTATAAGCAGTACACAGACTCCACATATACCACTGAGATTCCCAAACCTGCCTGGCTGGGGTTCCTTGGGCCCATCATCCGAGCAGAAGTGGGGGATACCATTGAAGTACACCTAAAAAATTTTGCTAGTCGTCCATACACGATCCATCCTCATGGTGTTTTCTACGAAAAGGACTCTGAAGGTAAATGAGCCACTACCATAATGGAGACAGTTTCCTCATTGGGAATTTAGGAGTATGCACTGAGGAAAGGTGTCTGTGAAGAAGCTGAGAACTTGGTTAGACCTAAGCTATACTGCTGGAAAGCAACTGAACTTAGGTGTTTAGTGAAGTCACCTGATGCTGATTTAGGAGGTTGATGGGTCTGGGAGTAGTTTCCCGACCTGGGCATTACAGTACACAGTCTAGATTTCTTGAATTTAGTAGCATCACCAAAAGCTCACCAGTGGGAGAGCGGCATGGAAGGAGAAGAATTAATTAATGGTCATTATTTGAAGTGCTGTAGTAGAAGAGCCATGAGTATGACGAGCCTGAGAGTTTGCAAGAAGGATGAAGTATGAGACCAAAGAGTTGCTTTTTGGAACAACCCTAGAGATTTTAGAGAGACTGCCTATGAAGTATTATAGAGCTGAGGGCAGAGGAACAATAAGCAGAGCAGGAATCATCTTTCCAGCTCTGTGCTGACCTGTTTACTGGCAAGTTGCCTTACAATAGCTCAGTGCCTCAGTTATTCATTGAGAGAATGATGATTAAATACTCTGTTTCAACTTGGGATGGTGAGTCTTGCTTTGAAAGCTGCTATCAAAGTATATATGTGTAGCTGTCTCTATTATACTGAGTGCAAGAAGCTCAGCACAGGGTTGTACCTATGGACTCTGCTCTTGAATGGTTGTTGTGGTTGCTCAATTTTTCTAGGATCCCTGTATCCTGATATGTCCCCCCAGGATCAGAAGAAGGATGATGCTGTTTTCCCAGGAGGGAGTTACACCTATACTTGGACTGTCCCTGAAGATCACAGCCCAACTGCTGATGACCCAAACTGCTTGACCTGGATCTACCACTCTCATATTGATGCACCAAAGGACATTGCATCTGGATTAATTGGGCCATTGCTGACATGCAAAGAAGGTAAAACTGCCAAGGGAAGGCAGCTTCATGCTGTGAAGACAGTGGTGACTGGAATGAGGATAGAATGAGGAGATAATCCAGTCATGCTGTATCCTATGAAGCTGGGAGCTGTCTGCTGGAGACCTGTTTTCTAGCTGGGTTCTGATAATTACATTGTCTTTATCCCTTAGTGGCTGGACAGGTGAGCTTGTAGGCCTCTTCCTCTGAGAGAGCCATTTAAATTTGTATTAGGAGTGGGAGTCTTGTCTAAGACCCGGTTTGTATACGAAAACAACAACAACCCCCCCCCCCAACAGCAGCAACAACAAAAAGGATTTTGATTTCAGGAAGAATAAGAACGCTTAAGGTGATATAGCTCAGGAGTGTCAAGCAGTGGTAGAGCTGCTTGAAATTGAGAAGTGTATTAGCAGGGAATGCAGTATATAAGTGAGATTGGTAGAACTCTGCAAAGAGCTGGACTAGAATTGTGAGGAAAAGCAACAGTCCCTAATATGTGTGATAAGAAGTTACTCTTCTGTTGATGTTTTAATGCCTTGACTGATGTCTACTTTTCTGGATGTGTGTGGGGGGTACACACACACATTCATCTTTGCTTTGGCCTTAGGAATACTGACTGGCACTTCTCAAAGACGCCAGGATGTGGACATTGATTTCTTTCTGATGTTCAGTGTGGTGGATGAGAACCTAAGCTGGTACCTGGATGAGAACATAGCGTCATTCTGTACAGATCCAGGCTCTGTAGACAAAGAAGATGAAGAATTCCAAGAGAGCAACAAAATGCATGGTCAGTGTTGCCTTTGTGAAGCCACTGGCTTTGCCCGCATGCTCCAGGGGTGTCAGTGTTCTGGTATCTTGAAATGCACTTTCTGTTGTTGTATGCCAGGATGGGGGTAGAAGGAAGAAGAGTGATAGCAAGCTGTGAGTTTGTGCGCTAAGCAGTGTCACAGGGACAGTGCAGCAACTCCAGGAAAAAAAAAATTAACTTGATTTAATCTTTGGCTTGAGAGAGCCTGTGTTAAGTATTTGGAGATGCTGAGTATGCTTTGTATTAGGAAATGAGTTGTGGAGCTGTGCTCTACAGAACTAGAAGAGGAGGACAGGTTCTGGTCAGATCCACCCTCCAAACATTTCTTTACTGTGACCTGTAGGCAGAAGCTCTGAAGGCCCCTTTTCTTATTATGCTTTTGATTTGCTTGGTTTTGCAGCTATTAATGGTTACGTCTTTGGGAACCTCCCTGAGATGACGATGTGTGCTGGGGATTATGTTGCATGGCATCTCTTTGGGATGGGCAATGAAATTGATGTTCACACAGCCTACTTCCATGGAGAGATGCTCGTTATCAGAGGCCACAGGACAGATGTGGCCAGCCTATTCCCAGCTACTTTTGTCACGGCAGACATGATCCCCAGTAACCCTGGGAGATGGCTACTGAGCTGTCAGGTCAATGATCACATAGAAGGTAAGGCAGAGGCTGGAATCCATCCTGTACTCTGTGGCCTTCCTTTTTTTTTTTTTTTTTTCCCCAACATGGTTCTCTGGCATACAGTGTGGTGGGGGGCAGTGCCTTGGATAGTATTCCCTGCCAAAAATGACCCCAGGTGAATAGGGTGGATCTTTGTCTTTTATAAATTGGAATGCATTGGTTATTAATATGCAGGCCAAACATACAGGGATGACACATCCCACTGTACAATGTTCCACATTGATCAGCACTGAACACCTCAAGTCTGATATAGCTGAATGTTGAGATGAGGCAACGTCGTAAGAATTCTAGTCCCTGTTACAGACAGTTGCATAATACACCTGAGGATAGCAGAAGGCTCTATTTCCTTTCCATCCTTTCTCACATAGCATCTGATATCTAAGGTAAGAAGCTCTGCTCACCAGCAGAGAAAAGTCTCCTTTCTGGGGGCACCACCTAATTGCCCTCTCCCAGCCATGTGTCCTTTGGGGCAACAAAGGAGGAATGGCTAGCTCATGATAGGAGGGTGGGCCTGTGTTCGTTATTTAATCAAACTGGCGGATGGGGGTTTAAGCCTGTGTGTCCACCATGTCTTGGGCAGCTGGAATGGAGGCACTCTATGAAGTCCGACCCTGTTCTCGGCAAGCTCCAAGATCCACCCTCCAAGGGAGAGTTCGGAAATACTACATAGCTGCGAAGGAAGTACAGTGGGACTATGGACCCTCCGGACTGGACCAAAGCAGTGGGAAACAGCTGAGTGAGGCAGGCAGGTAAGTAAAAGGCTGATGTGTTTATAGCAGTGTTTGGGGGCCTCTGTCTGCGTGAAGGATACAGAGGCCGCTAAGGAAAACGTGGAAGTTCGTTCTTAACAAAATACATGAGCCTGCAATTCATGTGGAGTATGTTACTGAAGAAAGCAGACCAGCCCATCTAGAAACATAGGCTGCTGTAGCTAAACTGTACTAGAAGCAGTACTAGGTACCTCAGGGGATTTTACACGGAAGGTGTAGTGTATGTGTGTAGACCTACCCACAGGCTCCAAGGGTTCCAGTTTATATAGGATGTGAGCTGCCTCAGTTACCTCTGGGCTTCATTTCTGCTCACTGTGCCTGATCTAGAAAGAGACCTGCAAGTCTGAACTTTGTGAGAAAGCACATCTTGCAGCAGACACAGGGTGGCAGAGCTAGCCTGCAGATATGCTTCAGTATAGACTTGCTACAACAATCAAATTCTAGGAAATCAAAACCAGTGACCTTGAGTCTTCCATCCCATGTGTTTAATGGTTGTGGTAGCAATTGGTATGTGGCATCCCTTTCAGAGTTTGGCTAACTGAAATAAGACATTCCTCGTCCCCTGCTCCCTTCCCTGTGAAGCTATTAGGTGGGATGTTCGTCTTTCAAATAGAAAAATAGAAATGCAGAGCGGTTAATAATTTACCCAAAGCCATGCACCGACTCTGCAGACCTTAAAACTGAAATTTTTTTTACATTTGTTACTTGTCCTTGTAACTAAGCTGCCTCTCCTGCAAAGCAGGTTATATCTGTCTGTGTGTTTGGGGAGGGTGGTGGCAGAGGAAATAAATCTCTTTGCAGCTGTTGCGTGTGTGTTTTTTTTTTTTTTAGTTATGACTGCAGTTGTTCTCTGGGCTCTGTCTTGACCTTGAAAGAATTCAGTGTTGTAGCACCCTCTTAACTGCACTGAAGTTTTGTTCCTTGCCCGCTTCTGCACATCTTTTGTAGAGTTGCTGTTCAAATCTGCACCACTGAACCCAGCTGTTCTAGCCTGGAGAGAGCCGCATGCCAGAGGTGTTCCCTGAACACAGCTGGTAGATGAGTCTGTAGGATGAAAATAATTCAGAGACAAACATGCTGGGCTCGGCTGGGTTCTTCTAAACCAGAGATGCTGCCCTTGTCTGAAAAGCTGCTTAATTAGGAGATCTGCTGACATTGCTAGAGGGATGTGGAGGGGAGAAGGAACAGGACTAATTTTCATAAAAATCACCTGAAACTTTTTTTTTGCATTTAGCCCTGCTGAACAATTTTTCAAGCGTAGCCATTACCGAATTGGGGGAATCTACTGGAAGGCAAAGTATGTGGAATATACTGATGAGACCTTCCGGGAGGAAAAGAAGCAATCGGAAGAAGAGAAACACCTTGGAATACTTGGTAGGAATCATCCAGCAACACAAATCCTCTTTCAGTGCCAGTGAGAATGATATGTTGGTGTCAGAAATCCTGATTGGCTGTTACTATCCTTCCATTTCTTGACGTAGTAATTTCCACAGAGGTGGCGTTTGATGGCATTTAAGAGTAAGATGTACAGAACTAGGCTGTGGAATCACAGAGCGGAAGGAATTGTTTTTCTAACAGGGCAATCCTCAGAGGTTAGTAGTAAGGGCTGAAGGACACATTATTATATTTGTAACTCTAGCTAAACAGATCATAGTATTAGCAGCGGATTATGTGTTTTTAACTGAGCATCTTCAAGACATAGTACAAACCCTGCTCTCTCACAGAAAGCTTCCACTCCCAAGAAGGCTCCCTCTCTCTTATAGCCAGGTAAGTGAAGGTAATGAGAGAAGAAAACAGGGAGTCTGCAGAGGGAAATGAATCACACATGAAAGCTGTCACGTACAAGGTGTGGTCCAGTTTCCTGTATCAGCAGTGACTGACACCAGAAATTAGCAACAGCAATCTCAGCAAAGACCACAGAAGGAAAGAGCACAAGGGAAATGCAGATTTGGGATGGGGAAAGAATAGTGGAATGAGAGGCAAAAAGAAGTTTAAGCATCTGAATAGAAGTAAAATGGTGGAGCTGTGCATAGAGGGATGCAGCATAACTGTCAGGAGCTGACAGGATCTTGCTAGGCTCTAAAGCAGGAAAAGATATGATGGGTTGGCATTACCAGAAACAACCACATTTTCCTAGGAAGACAGGTACTTGAAGGAAATCTTGAATATAACTTCCAAGAAAGACATGACAGGTGTTTCCTACTGGTAGACTATCAATTACTCCTTCCGTGATTTTAAAAATTCCCAGTCACATAAACAAGCTATACCCACAGGGGGAGTTATTTAAACTGTTTTGAACTGGCCGCTTAAAGCCGTGAGAGACCTGTGAACTATGTAAAGTGACTGGAAGGAGTCATGCTCAGGCAGTCCAAGAAGAGATGCAAGGCCATGAGGAACTGAGCTCCAGAACAGGGAACTGAGGAAAAAGCAGCATAAACCCATGTTCCGTTCCACACGTTATGGTTGCCTGCATGGCACCCTGTTATTTCTATATTATGTTTTCATCCTAAAACGTGAAACTGTGCTATGGGAAGGCTGAATGATAGCTTATTGACACTGTCATTTTTCCTTGGGCTATTAAACAAATTGACTGTGCGTGTCTTAACAATTCATCACCCCACAGCAGGGCAGGCCTGCTCCTGCTGCCCCTCCACATGTTTTTCACTCCCGTATTGTTGGCTGTGCTGCTGCCCTGAATCCCTTGTGCTTATCAGACCCTGTGGAAGCATATTCAGTTCACTAACCAAGCAGTAAGTTGTTTGGAGTTGTCTGGTTTATGACTTACATAAGTTGCCTGAGCTGTTTAATGAATAGTAGGAGTGGTGCACATGAAGGCACTGGGACATCCAGGAGGAAAAGGATGGAGAAGATGAAAAGGAAACATCCTAGGTAGAAGAGCTACAGTGGGACTGACCTGTTTGGCAGCAGCAGATTTTGACTTACAGACCAACATGCTAACACGATCCCACTGAACTGCAGGGGATAGTCCAAACCAGAAATCTTAATTTGGAGAGGAGAGGAACACAGCTCTAGACCGGAGCGTGGTGTCCTCAAACACATCAGGAAGACCTAATGGTGCATTAATCAAGGACATGCAAAGACACAGCATGAGGTTTTTCTGAGTAATTGTTGTGCCACCCACAATGGAAGTGTTGAGACTAAAGGCAGCAGTCTTCTGGGGCACAGAGCAATTAGCGGATAGCTTGAGATTACTGGTGGCTTTCAAGCATTTTCAGTCTGGGGACCCCAGCATGTCATGGCACAGATCTATACAAATTTTGCCTGCCTGGATTTCTGGATAGCAGCCTGGCTTTTCACAATGACATCTCACAGGCTGTTAGGGTGTTAGGAGTAATCTGTGGACTCTTAGAAATCTGCAGGCCAGAGGAAAACCATTAGCTGTTTTAAAGACTGACAGGTTGGGGTTTTTGTTGGTTTGTGGTTTTTTGTTTTGTTTTTTTTGTTTTATTTGCAGGCTGAGGTCATGGCTCACAGATGCTCTTGGGCAGCAGTTAAACTGAAATGTGGTTTTAGAGCACCTCACGCCAGTTTTTACACACCTGCTTGAGGCACCCGTGTTAGAAGGCTAAGGGGGCTTTATGAAGTTGAGGGAGAGACGTAAGCATTTCCTGAGGGCATTTCAGCACACTCGTTCATTTTGTTACTCCAACTGTGAAGGCCTGAAGCTTCTTTGAATTCTCCTGCAGATTTAAAACCACTTTCAAATAATTCTTGTCAACTCCCTTGCTAACTTTGGTTAAAATTCAATAGTGTTATGCAACACAAACACGTGCGTGGAGTGAGGAATCTGCTTTTGTTCTAAATCTTCTGTTCCTGAGCCCTGGACAAAAAATAGCTGTGACTTTGGTTTCCCCAATCACCTCGATTGACATGATCTCTCTGCTGTTTATACAGGTCCAGTGATAAAAGCTGAAGTTGGAGATACCATCTTGGTGATGTTTGTTAACAAAGCCTCCTGGCCTTTCAGCATCCAGCCTCATGGAGTGTCTTACGGGAAGGCATGGGAAGGGATGTGGTACCATGATGGTCTGTGGCTCATTTTTCTTGAGTAATTCAGTGGTAATCCAGGGGGTGGAGCTCCACAGTCTGTATTGCCTCTGCAGGGAGGTTTCTGCATGCAGAAAGGACTGAACGTGCTCAGAAATTGGGTGGAAGCCTGCCTGGTGCTCTGAGCCTGATTGAGGCTTCAGTAAAGGACATCTTCTACTGAACTGGTGCCTAAGGAAGGGTACCAGAAGGAGTACAGTGCCAGAGGTGCTATTTTTTTTGAATGAAAATTATAAACCAAAGCTCAAACTGTTTCTAGTTATTTAAGACCTTATGAACAGAGGAACATGTGCAGTGTACTCCAGCTTAGATAACCACATTCTTCCAACAGTCATCTTGCTGCACGTAGCTGGATCCAATTTATTTCCTGTCACCATATCTCTCTCTGCCATGGCAAGGATGAATCTACAAAATACCAGGAACAGTTGCATCTGAACACTTTTTATAAAAGCTACTATGTTGTACCTCAGATGTCTGGTATTTAGTGAAATGAAGTAAAGCCCAGTATGAATGCAAATGATGAGAAGATGTAGCAAAGTTTGTAAAGGAGCCTCGAGAATAATATGCCAATCTCTATTTTAAAGGTCTGTCACAGAATGGGGTTCCTGTTCAGCCTCTGCACAACTTTACGTACCACTGGACGGTACCCCAGCATGTTGGGCCCACATCCAGTGACCCTCCCTGCCTGACCTGGATGTATAGCTCTGCTGTGAATCCTGTCAAAGACCCCAGTTCAGGCTTAGTGGGCCCTTTGGTGATCTGCAAGCCTGGGACTTTGGATGACAGCAACAAGCAGGTAAAACTGATACTCTTTACACACTCTTATGAGGCTCTTTGCTTTCTCCTAGAGAAAGGAAACATCAGCAAAGCCTTAGGAAATACAGTGTGAATAAACCTATGCAGAGGTATGAGGCCAAGAGAGTTGAATCAAAGTTGTGAGGCAGGTTAGAGCTGCTGCTTACATCAGGACAGCTCTGTGCTCCAGGTTCCTTGTGAGAAAGGCTAATACTTTGGGCTCCCAAGAGCTTCCATTAAGCTGTTTTCTGGGCTTGACTTTAAAACTCTAAGGCAAATTTGATTAGTCAAATGTATCTTGGATGTGACTTCAGACGTGACTTTTGTCCTGAGACTTGTGTAGCAGACTGCCCTGTCTCAGAAACACTGAAATGTTATGTTCATGTACTTACAGAGGAAAATCTACATAGTTTGCTTGAGTGATGGATTGCTTTGAGGTTTGGGTGAGCCTCTTTTCTTCTGCAAAATCAGCTCATTTTCAAGCAAAGCTGATTACAAAAAAGCACGTGAAAACCCATGTCAGTCTGTATGCTTTTGACGAAAGAAAACTGAAATCTGGAAGGTGACCAGAACTGCGTCTTGGAATTTCATTATGGGATACTCTTTTTCATTGATCTAAGGAAGGCAGTAAAATTATGTGCTGTGGAAGTGAAGGACAGATTAACAGAGCCTTGTGGGGGGAAAAAAAAAAAAGTAGGCGTCATCCTATGTACCTTGCAGTTTATTCTGGGGAGCGGCTGGAAGATGAAAACAGCCTCCCTGGAGGAGTAGCGAAAGCCTTTTCTCCACTTTCAGTGATGAAATTATGTGCCTAAGTTGGGAGTTCAGAAGAGATCAGCAAGTTCAACAGGGTAGAAATGTGAATCTTCTGAGTAGAGAGGGTTATGAATATATAAAGCCTGCTACGTGAGGGAGTTGTAAAAATGATAAAACACTTACAGGTATTGAAAGGGTGTAAGCAAAACAGACAGACTTGTTTAGAAAGCAAGAACACGGAGAAATCACCTGAGCCATCAATTCTGGCTCCAGTTTTAAGCAATCCTTTAATGAACGCTTAAAGTTTAGTTTGGAAAGGCACAGAGCTACTTCTCACGCACCCATATGCCACAGACTGGAAAACACTTCTCGGCCACCTCTGCAGGTTGTCTTCCTGGATATAACTAAAGGAAGTTGGTATGAAAATGAGAATCTAGGCAATACCGGGAGAGTTCTTTTAGTGGGGAAATACACCATGCTTTGGAATGCATTTCTTAAATCCCTGAAAATGTTAATTCTCTTATGGTAATAATTAAAAAAACCCAAAAAACAAAAAACCCAAAACACCCAAATTCAAGACTGTTGTAGGAGAGAAGAGGGGTGAAACATGGTCATTAACCTGCCTTGTAGGCAGAGTTCTGATCTGAGTTCTGTTTTGGACAGGTAGTGAAACCCAGTACCTTAAACCCAGGGATTGTGAAGGAACGAGATAAGACTTCATATTCTTGGTTGAATTTTAATTCATTTACTCATGTGGAACATCAGGGCAAACATATAGTCGTGCCTCTTGTGGAATAAAAAAGGGCCATCCAACATGAGTAAAGGGACAGATCCCTGGCCCTCAACAGGCCTAGTTGAAAGAAAAAGGGGAAAACGAGAGCCAGACAAAACAGCTTGAACTATAAGGCTGATGGTTAATTGGTGCATTTCAAAAATTAACAGCCATCATTGTGATTATATCTTAGAAAGGGATCGACAAAGAATTTTACCTTCTCTTCAGTGTGTTTGATGAGAATCTCAGCTGGTATTTAAATGCAAACATAAAATACTATTTGAGGATGGAAGAGACTTCTGTGAAAAAGGATAATGGCTTCAAGGAATCGAACAGGATGCATGGTATGGCGTGATGCTGTCCTGCAGGCTGCAGGAGTAAACCTGCAAGACATGGGTTGGTGTCCACCTAATATCTGGGCTGGGAAACCTGAGTGGCTACGTGCTGTACTAGCCTGAGATTAAGTGAGTATAAAGGCAGAAAGTGGGGCATGGGACATAAAGCAGAGCTGAGGAAGTAGGCCCTGAGTGTATTTGGGGTGAATTACAAGCAAGATGCACTTTCACAGGCAGGCCTGTCCTTTCAAGGTATATGTACAGAGTGAACCCTCTGGCTGATGTGTAACTGTGAACAGTTAATTGTTTTCACCTTTGCAGCCATCAATGGATTTGTTTTCGGTAATTTGCCTGGGCTGGATGTGTGTGAAGGAGACAATGTGTCTTGGCACCTCCTGGGTTTGGGCACTGAAGCAGACGTACATGGAGCTGTGTTTCGGGGAAACACCCTGCAGATGAATGGAATGCGGAAAGATTCTACCAATCTCTTCCCCCACACGTTTGCTACCACCTTTATGCAACCTGATAACAAAGGTAAGTACCTGCACATCTAATTTACCAGCAGGAAAAGTCTAAAGTTGTAGTATTTGCTCCTATGGCTGATGTGTTTAGCACTGTGTGAACTGTTACAGGGTGAGCTGTGCTTTAGACCCTGTTTGGCCCATTTAGGAGGCCAGAGGTCCTGCATCTTGCATCTGATTCTGGGGAGGAACAGAAAATAGGAGATCTCATCCCATGTTGTCCCAGAGTGATTCTCTGGGCTGCCACATACTGTTGTATATCTGTACTAACAGCCCCAAAGGACACTGCTGCTTGTGACCCATAGAAACGTGCAAACACATATTTCAGAATAAAGTAGCACTGAGTTGTCAGACCTCAGCTCTCCTGCCCATGGCTTGAGAAGCTTCACGCTTGCATCAGACCTCGGTCTTCCCAGTTTGAGGGTTAGACATGCAATACCGTGTCTCTTGCAAAGGGTGTTGTGGCATGTTGCCAGCTGTCTCCTTTCCCTTGGTATTTGCAGGCTAGATCTTTTACTTAACCAGCATCTCAGCAGTGGTAACACAGTTGTGTCTCCTAATTGGTTTCTTCACATCTAACAAGCTGGTTATTGTGTGTTTAAGGAAACCTCCTGAGATGATTCTTATCTAGGACTTGGTGCCTTTCTTGCTTGGTTTCTCTAACAGCCGTTTTGAATCTCAGCCTATGGCAACCAGCCTCCGTAAACAAGCACATAGACATATACAACGCACAAACCAGTAACAGCCATGTCACAAGCTTTGTATGAGAAGCAGCTGTTTCCTGGGATCTTTAAAACTAGCTGATTTCCTTGTTTGTGCTGCCTCCCTTAGGGATTTTTGAGATCTACTGTCAAACAAGCAATCATTACCATGCTGGGATGAGGGGACATTACTCCGTTTCCAAGTGCAGCAAAAGGGACCCTGCTCCTGCCCTTCAATACAAAGGGGTGCGGACATATTACATCATGGCGGAGGAGGTGGAGTGGGACTATGCACCCGATCGCCGCTGGGAGAGGGAACGGCATAACCACTCTGTGGAGAGGTAGTGTCTCTATTTTGAGGAAGCCTCAGGCAAAGGTTCTCAGTAGAACTTAGTGAAGTTGATTAAGGTATTTTGGCTATCTTTTCACATGGCGCATATGCCACTGCTGGTGGTGCTGATGGGGGCCACAGCACCCTAAGTCATCCTGCCACTCCTTTCAGCCAAAACAGGTCACTTGGAGGTGAAACCTGTTCAGCGAATGAATCCCCTACTACAGGTTAGCTGCTTATTCCCTGTGAGCGTTTGGGTAACACAGCGCGCTCTCTGCATTTTTCAGCTATTCCAATGTATTTTTGAGCAACGAAAATGGACTGCTCGGCTCCAAGTACAAGAAAGCAGTTTATAGGGAATACACTGATGGGACGTTCCAGACCCCTAAAGCCAGGATAAATGGTGATGAACATCTAGGGATACTGGGTAAGGAAATCTGCAGAGGGTACATCTTGCGTTCGTACAGGGCTGGGTCTTGGACTGTGGGCTGTAATCTGATGGCCTCCCGGATATTCAGGTGTATACTGTTTATGCAAGTGAGGAGGGCTGTCTCCTATTCAGGTCTACCAGGTCTGAAGAAAACAATAAAGAGGATTCTGAATGCAGCCTGTAGAAAAGACTGGATTCTCAAGCCTACCTTTGCTGCTGGCTTTCTTTGATAACTCAGGAAAACTTTTTCCACACCTGCATTTCTCTGAGTGTAAAACACAAATAACCGTTGACTTCTGGAAAGCAGTCTGAGAGATTTAGGTGAATATCTACCTGTGAAAGAAATGCTTTTGATGTGGAAGTAGACTGGTCTTGAGAAATGGAGGAGCACACAATGTCCAATGGAAGTCCATGGAGACTCAGCTCTAGGATATGAATCCAGGGCTACAAGTAGTGTCAGGCCAGCAAGGCGAGGTAGTATAAGCCATTTAAAATAGCAGCTTGACACTTTCAGGTCAAATTGAGTATTACCAGGTAAATGGTCACCTGGTAAAGCCAGCAGCAGGGGATAATACAGGTGATGTTACATTTAATATAGCGGTATTCAGATATCAAACCTTAGTTGCACTGGACACAGTAAAAATGCATAGCAACCTTTCTTTTCCCCTTGTGAAACTTGCAGTCCAGTTTTCTAGGACCTGTTTGAATTGGGACCAGCCTCCAATTCTCTTTTCGGGGGAATAGAGATATGGTAATGAGGAATGAGAGGGTCATCGTAAGTATTACAGGGAAAAGATATTTCTGGGAAGGGCAAGATGGTGAGAGAGGTGGGAACATCCTTAGGAGATATGTTGATAATTCTTGCTAATCTTAAAGTATGCTCTTCCTATCGCAAGGCCCTTTTATGTGGGCGGAAGTAGGAGATATTCTCAACGTTGTGTTTAAGAACAATGCTACGCGACCCTACTCCATTCATGCACATGGGGTGCTGGAAAGGGCGACGGGACAGCCACAAGCGGCAAACCCTGGTAAGTCACCATGTTTTCCAGCTTTATTTCTGTACAGGCATATGAAGCTTATTTTAGCCTACAGTTAGACTTGTTTCTTCAAATAGACTTAGGCATACTTCTTTTCTTGCGGTAAAGACTTGGAGCTGAACAGGAATGTCTTTCAAGTTCACTGCGTTTTTATGAATTATCACTTCATGGCGGTCTGGAGGACTTAATGTTCTCTGCTGATCTCTGGGATAAGTGTAGCACAAACGTCTCTGTCCAGCCTCCCCCCCCAAAATGTGCCTGGTCTGCCTGGGAAGGAGAAGGGTGATGATTGTTCACAGCTGAGTCATTCCTTGGTAATCCTGGCCTGAGTGCCCATGATGGGGGAAGCTTACCCTGGTTCTTTGTAACCTATAGCTTTTGTGATATGGAAAGCTGCTTGTGAGGACCCAGGCTGAGATCACCAATTTGTTTCGCTGTCCAGATGCCAGTCCATGTAACTTTTGATGCCCTTCAAGATGCGCATTCTTCAGAACAGGCTCTGTCTCCAAAACACCCAGCCTTTCAGTTGGGCCTTGTGCTTCTGAGAAGTCTTGCAAATACCCAAAATAGTAATTTTAAAAAGGAATTTGATTGAGCGTCATAATATACTTTTAAGAGTTCAAAGATCATCCTTCTGTAGTGAAGACAAGTGGAATTTCTTTGGTCAGGTCTAGTCTCAGAAGTGGCAGATAAAACAGTTGCGCTGATATCAGTTAGCGTGTACATCGTGTGACCACCCCCCCTCCCCGACTGCCTTTCCCCCACCCCCCCTGCATTTGCTTATGAGAGGGGAGCTTCCATTCTGCTTTTCAGTATCTGTGGAAAGAAGGTGCAATGTCTGACAAAAAACAGAATTGTATTTGTACTTTGGAGACAGGATCGCCTTTTTTTGGTCTGCTTTTGAGTACTGCTCAGCGAACTGGGTACTTGGTTCATCGCACAAGTGCTAATGGTGCTTTTCCATTGCTCAGGTGACATTGTGACGTACCGATGGGAAGTTCCTGAGAGATCTGGTCCAGGGCCAAATGATTCAGCATGTGTCCCTTGGATCTACTACTCCATGGTGGACCCAGTAAAGGTAAAATCTGTTTGAAATCTTAGAATAGAAGTTAGAACCAGAAAAGCCCAGTTAGATCGATTTTTCTAACTCTCTACAAAACAATATTTTTGATGCATTTTAGAGATTAGCCCAGTTGAGAGGCAGAAGAACCATCTGATGACATATCCAGCATTTTGAAGAGGGAATCCTCCAAATTCATCCTGATGTTTATCCTTTTTTTTCCAGCACAAACCCTTGTAAAACAGTTCCACTGTCCCCTTGATAATAACCTTCCTTCAGTTATTTGCAGGATATGAGCACATCTCCTAGTGAATCATGGTTTCTCTTAGTTGGAGTCATAGGGCTAATCTGAAAAGGCAAAAATTGCCCAAAGTTGGGCCAGGTGAATAAAGCAGGAAGATTTGAACATTGCTAGCATCAGCTGTCACAGCACTGATTTCAATGGGAAACTGCCTGGAGGATGCGTTATTGCTTCTCATTCAGCCCAAAGATCACTGACTTTTTATCTTAAGATCCAGATGTTTCTGCAGCTAGAGCGTGGAGAATATTTTGATGTCATTCATATTTATGTCCTTTTGATTTGCATTCATAAGAGCATGTATAGACTCTGTATAATAGCTGATTTTTCACCAATGAGATTACACAGTGGCACACCATTTGTTTTAATGGGGGTGATGCAGGGAACAGCAAACATGGTTGCTGAAAGGCAAAGGACTATACAAAAGGGAAGGTAGGAAGATCATTGTCTCAGAGGTTTTTCTCATTCATTCCTACTAGGATATGTACAGTGGTCTGATTGGACCCCTGAAGATCTGCCGGAAAGGGGTGCTGCAATCTGATGGGATCAGGAAGGATGTAAAGAGGGAGTTTGCTCTCCTGTTCCTCGTTTTTGATGAAAATCAGTCCTGGTACTTGGAGGAGAACGTGGAACGTTACACTCGTGGGAATCACAGAGATACCAACCTGCTGGATGACACATTTGTGGAAAGCAACAAAATGCATGGTAACGTCTATTAGGCACCTAGACACCCATTACAATCTGTGCAAAGTTGATGTTGGTCTTGTGACCTCCGTTAGTAGTCAGAAGCCCAAAAACCAGGAAGCTGATTAAGCCCAAAAACCAGGAAGCTGATTCCTAGTGAATACCCTCACCCTTTTCTTTCATCAGTGGCACAAACAACTCTCTGTTGTTCTCAGCCTTATAGCACATATAAGGCACAAGTTTTTAATCTACAGTGAAGGCTAATCATTACGGTTGTCTCCATCAGGAGGAACAGCAAGATATGGGCCAGGGAGGTTAATCTCTAATGTATCTGAGTGACGCAGGACAGGAAATACGATCAGATGTGAAATTAACATGTCAGACTACTTCCATTCTGTTCATCTCAGGATCATTAGAATATGTTACTTTTTGAATTAATTGACCAAGCTGTGTGGTTGCAATGCACAGATCAGTTGTTTTAGCTGATTACCAAAAAGCTAGTTCTGCCTTAGTAGGTTAAATAGATTTTTTTTTTTTTAAGTTAATATGCAGTTTATGATAACTTTCTCACACGTTAGATCTGGATGAATCTAAAGCATTCTCAGCAAAACAAGTCCCTTGGCAACTGTGGAGATAACAGGGAGTTGTTATATCCTATATATATAGGAGCATCTCTCCTATGAAGAAAGGCTGCAAGAGGTGGGCCTGTTCAGTCTGGAGAAGAGAAGACTGAAAGGTGATCTCATCAACGTGTATAAGTATCTGAAGGGGGGGTGTCAAGAGGGTGAGGCCAATCTCTTCTCCGTGGAGCCCAGCAACAGGACAAGAGGCAGTGGGCAGAAACTGAAGCACAGGAAGTTCCACCTAAACCTGAGAAAAAACTTCTTGACTGTGAGGGTGACAGAGCACTGGAACAGGTTGCCCAGAGAGGTCGTGGAGTCTCCCTCGCTGGAGATGTTCAAAACCTGTCTGGACGTGATCCTGGGAAATATGCTCTAGAGGTCCCTGCTTGAGCAGGGAGGTTGGACTAGATGATCTCCAGAGGTCCCTTCCAACCTCAAGCACTCTGTGATTCTGTGATATGTACTATCTTTACAACTATTTCCTTGCAGGTTATATAAAGTATCTCTCAATATTCGTATCCATTAAGTTATAATCATCAACCCAATATTATAGCTAGCAAAATCAACACAGAAGTTGAGTTTCTTGCTTTGGTCTACAGAATGCGCCTATGGTAGAGCTAGGATTAAAACACAGATGGTTCCTGTCCTCAGATCATGTCTCTTTCCATCTTATTCCCTTCTCTGTCATCTGAGCATGGAGGTTTCCATGTGTGCCATATCACTCAGCTCGGTCGCTGTTTTTGTTTCTTTCCTGCATTTGCCGTCAAAGCAGTTTTCCTCCTTGCTGTGCTAATTATGCAACAAAGTCTCACCATGTAGTGATTTTACAAAGGATCAGCATGTAATGTATACAGCCAGCATGAGACATATAGAATGACAGGGTTGCCTCTTGGCAGGATTTACACTTTTTCCTTGTTCAGTAAGTAAATGGATCAAAGGTTCGTGTGTGTATCTGTATATATATGCATATATACATGCACACATATATGTATACACACTTACACATATGCACCTAGCATTGGGCCAAGAAGGCATATTTACACATCCTGGCTTCTAGAAGCAACCATCTCTGACTTCAGATTTTCAGAAAGAAGCAGAGTCTGAGATTTATCTGAGCTAAGCTATAGTATGGCCCTGGAGGCAAGTCACTTACCTATCTGTTGTCTCCACTGAGAATTAGATAGGTAGTTGAGCTGGAGGGATTGCCAGCCCTTTTGGGGACTCATATGGGGGACGCTAAAAGTTGATGCATTGGCTTCTAGTTGAGCTTTGAGACATCTAACTCGCCATGCCTGTTCTTCTACCGAGACAGTGCAGCATCTTTGCCATTTCAATAACAGCCATTTCTGTCTCAATGTTATTTATTGCACAGCAATCAATGGGAGACTCTATGCAAACTTGCCCGGATTGACCATGTTCCAAGGAGAGTGGGTGAACTGGTACCTGCTGGGAATGGGTCAGGAGATTGATGTGCACACAGTCCATTTTCATGCTGAGACCTTCACATACAGGGTAAGAATATCCTGCTGCTTATAAAGCAGAGACCGATCACAGGTATCATCGCTTTTGCTCGACTGTAGTTGACTTGAACTCCTTGAATGAATACACAGCAATCGTCTAATTCACCAAATGAGGAAAAGGATGTGATTTTACACAATATTGTGCTGATGCATGTAGCTAACCCTTCGTAGGATCAGGCATTACCAGATTATATTTACTTTCCCAGCTGCAGCCCTGGAGCTGCTCTTTGAAATCTTTTGTAAAGCTTGTATAAACTGTAGTAATACTGCAGAAATCTCTAGTGACACTAATAGAGATCTTCACTGCTCTAGACAGATTTCTTAAAAGATGCATAGAGTGCTGCATACTAACAGCCTCCCATTGCTTCGACAGAACGGCAGAGGCTACAGAGCAGATGTTGTGGATGTATTCCCTGGGACCTTTGAAATGGTGGAGATGTTGGCTGGGAACCCTGGGACATGGCTGCTTCATTGTCACGTATCTGATCATATTCATGCTGGCATGGAGATACTCTTCAAAGTCTTGCCCAAACCAGGTAGGGAGTGAGCACCAATTGTTACCATGAACATCTGTCATTGCTTTTTCTACTACTGCTGCTAAATTCTGAGTGTTTACATGACACTTAAAGTCCTTTAGGTACCATAAATAGCCAGTTAATTGGGCAGATAATTACTTAAGTACTAGTAATTTAACATGTTCCCTTTGAAAGTTGTAATAGCTGCAGCTGGAGTTAATAACAACTTGTTTTCAGGAGTTTCTATTGCCTAGGGTATTATTATGAGGTTTATTTTAGCTTGTGTTTGGGAAGCACTGTTCAGCCATCAGCTAGTAATTGTGCTTACTAAAATATTACCTATGATCTAAATGCGCATCCTAAGGCTTCTAATCTCACCAGGAAATACTGGAAGGTGCTGGAAGGCGAGTGACGCTCATGCTCTTCTTTCAAAGGCTGTAGAGGATTGTGCAAGGGGAGTAAGTCTGCTCTTGAAGTAGATAATGCAAAAGCCCTCTTGATTTAATGTGGGAGAGTGAAAGCATCCACAGGAGAAAATAAAACTGCAAGCACTGGAAAACCACTCTGTGTCCAGATCTGATCCGTGCTAAAAGTACTGTGTTCTAGACTGTTTACCTATTCAGCCCAACACTTTGTCACCCCCTTCTTGTTTCCTTTCAGAGCCAGCACCTGAAGTCATAAACTACAATGAAGGTATGGTGTACATTGCACTGCTAAATAATGTGTAGGTGGGTGTATGTGAGGGAAAGGAGGAAGGTAGATGGGCTATTCTTTACCAGTACAGAGATTTAGATTTGTACAGGGAGAATGGAGGGGCATGAAGAACCCTGTTTCCTTTGTTATTTCGAATAACCTCTCTTCAGTCAGGCTGGGCAGAGCATAAATGCAGAGGCCTTGTTAGTCTTAGGCTTGGCCAATGGTGGATAACAGCGGGGGGTTCCAGGTAAGTTTGTCCATCTATCCTCTAAATATCTCTGCTCCGATGGTAAAAGTAAGAAAGTTAGGCTTGTGCCTTGTTAAGCCAGAAAGTTTAGTGGCCTTGCATCCTGTTTTACCCGCTATGTTTGGATTCCTCTTCAGAGGAGAGTGTAAGTTTAAAAACTTGTAGAGTTTCAAAGAGTTGCAGAGTTTACAGGATGATCTTGCAAAGGGGATGATTTTTTTTCTCATCCCTTTCAATCAAAACCCAAGGTGCCCCTTCGATCCGTTATCCTCAGCTCTTGGACTATCAGTGGCTATATAGTTTAGAGAATTTTCAGACATACCGTTACTATCTGAAGGGAAGTATCAATATGGAAACAAACACATCTGCTTTCTAATCTGTTCTTCTCCCAAGAAAATAGCCTGAACATGTGTTGCAGGTCTTAAAAGTATTTAAAGAACAGATATAAGAGAACATTTGATT